AACCCATTTTGTCCCTATTCTCAAGAATCACTGATATATGATGTTTAGTAGTTTGGTACTTTTAGCTTCTTCTAATTAAATTTCTGCATTTTCATGGTATGAATGATTTATCTATTTTCATTCATTTGCTCTCTGTTGCTTCAGAAGCCTGTTACTTTCACATTCAGATCCATTTCAACATGAAGGCTGTTGGCAAAGCTTTGAACAACTTTACATCTACATCCACCTCTCCTCCCCAGATAACATGGCACTCATTTCCTGCGTCTCACATGCTTCCTTTGCTTCCTTTTTTTCGGATAAATTCCCCCTCCATGTTTTTCTTGTACTTTTTCTGTTATGTCCCTTCTTTTTTTATCTTGCCTCTCCTTTCCTCTATCGTCCCTATTTGCTCTTCCCTGGTCTTTAATTAATCAAAATGAGTTAGCCCTTGGGTGACCCCAGAAAGCTGCTAGTTAATTTAGATTTACTGTCAGTGTCCAGTTGAGGCCAGATAACGCTACAGTAGGAGTTTTTCCTCATGGTGGTAGGAGGATGATGCAGAGCCAGCAGCTTTCCTCCTAACTAATGAAACAGGAACAAAGAAGAAAGGTAGAAAGAGCCAATAATAGAACATTAAAGAGCTCCGGTAGTTGTTGGACATACTCTGGAATCTCAGACATGGATTTTAAACATTGTCGTTGTCCCTATGAGTTGAACTGTTTGAGCAGATTTCCACCTCTGTAGCACAGATCAAATCCACATGAAACATGAGAATTGTGATTTCTGCAACATAAACTCTTGCAGCTCAGTGTTAGGGTGGTCTTCTTCAAGGTTCTGGGTTCAGTTCTTGTTCCTGCTGATGAACAGCGCACACTCCAGGAACTAGCACAGACCTTTAAAGGGGCGGGCCCTCAAGTTCTAAAAAGGGAAACACATTTTAAAAGACAAATTGGGTGTTTTGTTATATATATATATATATATATATATATATATATATATATATATATATATATATATATATATATATATATATATATATATATATATAAACTTTTCCCAGAGGGAAACTTTTCACACGCTTAGAAGCAAAAGCTTTATCCCACTATAACCCTGATCAGTATCCATGTGGTAAGCTGTAAATCTTCTGAATCCTTTTTACAGAGCACGGGGGGCTTACATGCATTAAATAAGTTTAACTGTTTGAACTTGTTAACAGTTTTAGAAAACAGTTTTGTTGATTAAATTTCAACACTGGATTAACAACTTTGTGATCAGGGTTGCTTTAAACCCCAAAAGCTTTATCTCAAAGGTTCCTCTAACAAATCCACGTTTCTTCACTATTTGTAGTGAATGCTTTTCTTTTATTAGTGGAGAGAGAAAACATAGTTTTGCAGAGATTTCAACGTGGAATGCTTTGTTTTCTATTGCTTGTTCATTATTTCTCTTATCCACAGGGCCTGTATATCTTCTTAGTGTATGCTGTTTACAACAGTGAGGTAAGAAGGCATTCAAGCTCATTTTAGAGCTACTGTTGGATCTGCAACTAAATATAAAAAATAAGCTGTGTATTTGTACAATATGTGAGGACAAAAGGAGTGACAATAAAGTCTGAATCTGATTTAGGTGAGGAATGCCATAAAGAGGATCAAAGAAAAGAGAAAGGCTCTGTCTTTCACGGTAAGTAGATCCACAACATCCACACACAGAGCTGTGCGTGTCACATAGCCCTTTATTTATTATTACATAAAATATTAAACTTTATGTTCTTTTCAACATAAAGCAGGTCCTATAAAGAGATATGAATATGACACATCCAGATAATTATGTTGTATTTAGTATGAAAATATGCAAAAATGAAAAATCATTCTGTCCAATTTCAGCTGCCAGGCTGTAAAACACTATCCATAAGGTATCCTTTTCATTATGATTTCTTTTTAAGATCTACATGGTTTCCCCCTAAAACGTGCTAAACCCGGTGGTAAGGGCTCCAGGGCTAACTGTGGCCTTTAACACAATTAAAATATATGCAATTAATTAATTAATTTATTTATTTATTATTTTTTTGCTCATATCCCACTGAGGGAAACCCTGGTCTAAAACATTTACAGTCCAACAAAACAGAAAAAAGAGAAGAAATGTGTAACAGAAGTCCTAGCGTGATAGGTGGACGGAGCCTGGTGCTGCGAGGTTGGAGACCTCGTCCTGTTAGGCGACTGGGCCTGGATAATACCCGAGTAAAACGGACAGCAGAGTCCGGCGACGACAGGCGCTTAAATTCCGTAACAAAAGTTTGTTTTTTTTTTTTTTTTTTTTTTAAATCATTTTCTTTTTTCTTTTTTTCCAAAATCTCTTTCTCTTTCTTTCTGTTTCTGTTTCAATGTCACATGCTGTTTTTATTTTGTTTTTTAATTATGTAAAGCACCTTAAAATGCCTTGCTGCTGAAATGTGCGATACAAATAAAATTTGATTGATTGACTGATTGATTGACTGATTGATTGATTGATTGATTGATTGATTGATTGATTGATTGATTGATTGATTGATTGATTGATTGATTGATTGATTGATTGAACAGAGAAACTGACTTGTGTTTTGTAGAACTGCTCCCAGCCTACCAGCTTCCTTCCCTCCCAAAGGGCTCCAAAAACCTCCTGGAGTCGGAGCCCCCCAACCTCCTCCAGCCCAGAAACAAGTGACACCTCAGGACCCCTCAGCTCCACTTCCACATCACTGGTCATCAAGAACGGTATGCTACAAGTAACATCGTCTGGGTTCCATTGATTACTCAGTAGGACGTCTCTGACTGGGAAAAGAACATGTCGGCCCACCAGGGATGACTCCACCAATGTTCAAAAAAAAAAAAAAAAGGAAAATCCCATTTCTTTAGAGAAGGCCCAAGAGAGATTTTCTCTCAGGCTAACAACCATCTTCAGCTGGTGAATTAGGAGGCATAAAAAGGAAAAACTCTTCAGCTTTTAAATCAAACAGTTTTTTAATTGGAGAGCAGATCTGTTTAGAGACCTGGCTGGACTGATCCCTGGGACCATGTGGTTTGTGTAGTAACAACACAACATGTGAACAATATGTGAACAAAGTCTGGAACATGTTCACACATAGTCCTGATGCCACCTGAACATTCAATGTGTTTTACTTGTTTCATGTGATTTGGAAGCACAAAAAGATGAAAAGTTATAAATTAATAATGATCCATAGTTTACAAGAACAACTTCAAATACAAACTAAAATATGTGGTTCAAAAATAGCTTAATTTTATTAAAGCTTGTTGACAAAATGAGAAACTTATGAGAGAATAGCTTTGCATGGCGCTGCCTTCTGCATTTAGATAAAGAGGTAGTACTATGTGTTTTCCAGGCACATAGGGCCATCTTAGAGCACAAACAACCATGTTACCTCTAGTTTCTATTTAAAAAAAACTGTATATATCAAATGTGATTTAAAAGAAACTCGATTTTGTAATTTAGTGCCTTGAATTTGGCCTTCTGTCTCTTCCAAAATGCTAGTTCTTTCTGAAGCTCCGCCTTCAGGAAGTCATCACAACATGGCTCCTCTATTAAATCCAAAGTTTCTACCAGAGCTGCATTGAGAGGTTGCTCCTATAATGACCTCAGCAGATGAGCACGTACATCAGGTGTTTGCTAATTGCTGCTGGCTAATCTGACATGTGTGGAAGAATCAAGGCCACACTCCAGGTGTGCTGTTGATGAGGGAATAACATTTTAACATGATGTAAAACTAAAAGAAAAAATATATATTTTACATAATACTGCCCCTTTAAGGGCAGCAGCTGAAAAATCTAAAATGTACTTATTTTACCAGCACAAAGTATTACTACCCATTAATATAAAGTCTTATTAGTCCCAGACTAATAAGACTACTTCACAGAAATGATTCTATGTATCTGTGCTGGATGTTTATGTATTTCCTGACAGCTCTACGTCTTTGTGCTTCACATGTTCTAAATGGTGGAACTTTTGAGTGTGACTTGAAGATTGCTTAAAAGTTTTCACTTCTTTGGTAAAGTTTTGTAACAAAGCAACGAGACAACAAACCTTCAGCTGAGTGTGTTTTTCTCTCTGTACTCTGTACTTAAAAGAATACAACGAATGCACAATAGTTATCTCATGTTGAAGAAGCTGAGAAAAAAAAAAAAAAGGAAATTTTTTTTTCAAACACCAGCATTATTGAGCTTCAAAAAGTTCATAATTTACATGACTGAGTCGTATTAAAGCTGGTTTGATATTAAAGATGACATAAGAACTGCAGCAGTAGATTATGGCTCATTAATTGCATGAATATGCTTTGCTTTTCTCTGATGTAGGAAATGCAGATATCAGTTAGTACATTTAACTCTCCTGTAGTTTTTAGCTTATATATAATTGCACATTTATTTCATGCTGGCACCGCAGTCCAGAAGAGTTTGAATAGTAAAGCTCAAAACGTTGTCATGTCAGCATCAGCTCTTCAAACGTCTAAAAAGTGTCATGGCCTCAGGGCTACCAGCAGATACAGTGTTCAGGATTTAATCTTTTCCATTCTTCCTGCAAACAAAAGAAGAGAAGAATAAGAAGTTTGTCGCTTCAATTTTAAATCAAAATTCTCCAAAAATTCTCCGTCTTTGGACAGGTCAGCAGTTAAAGGTAGGCCTGTTTAATGCTGGTACCTTTTTACTCTATTGCTTTGGCAGTTTGGGCAAAATGTGGATTTATTGGTTTTGTTGAAAATTCAACTGGTGCACCTCAGAGACAGAAGAGCAGCTCTAAAAAACCTTTAAGTCACATCTGAAGACCCTCCATACTGTCTGACTGCGATTCAGATGGAGACTGAGGGCGACACCAAGGGAAACAGCCACAGACCTGAAGTTTGAAATGATCCTTTCATTGGATTAGAGGCTCCAAATTAGATTTAATTACCCACCCTGTCCTATGTCCATGTTTTATATCAGTGTTCTCTCTATAATAAGTGCCTCAGAAGGTAACGGTGTGTTATCGTTTCGAACCGCTGTTCCGTCTGTCTCAGTCTTTTTGTCCTTGGGCGTTTGTCAGTCTGCCTACAAGGTAGCTTCCCACCATCAGTGTGTGAATGTGTGCACAAATGGGTGAATGACTGAATGTAGTGGAAGGTGCTTTGGTGTCCTTGGACTTGATAAAGAGCTGTAAAAATGCAGACCATTTACCATTTACTGTGCCTCCGGAAAGCATTCACAGATCTTCACTTTTTCCACATTTTGTTATGTTACGGCCTTATTCCAAATTATATTAAATTAATTAATTTTAATTGAAAACTAAGAAATCACATTCACATAAATACACACAAACTGCCATCAAGCTAAAAATTGAGCCATTTCCACTGGTCATCCTTGTGACATCTGTGTGGCCAATAAAGTTGATTGGACTTGATCTTGAAAGACTCACACTTGTCCATAGGAGGTCCTACTGTTAACAGAGCAGGTCAGAGGTCAAACACCAAGCATGAAGTCAGAGGAATTGTCTATAGACCTCAGAGACGGGATGATCTTGAGGCACAAATCTTGAGAAAGATCCAGAAACATTCCTGCTGCTCTAAAGATCCCACTGAGCTCAGCGGCCTCCATCCCTGGAAGTCTGCTGGAAGCAGCAGGACTTTTCCTGAACTGAGTGATCGGGAATGAAGGGCTTTAGTCAAGGTGGAGACCAACAACTTGATGGTCACTCTGTTGGAGCTGAAGGGTTCCTTTGTGGAGAGAGAAGAACCTTCCAGAAGGAAAACCATCTCTGCAGCAATCCACCAATCAGCCTGGATGTTAGCACGACTAAATGAAGGCCATGTCTTAATAAAAGGCTCATGGCAGCGAGTCTGGAGACAGACCTCAGACCAAGAGAAACAAGATTATCTGCTTTGATGAGACAAAGATTGAACTCCGGTGTGAATACGTACATCATGTTTGGAGGAAATCAGACACAGATCATCATCAGGTCAATGCTGTCCCTACATTGAAGCACAACAGTGGAAGCATCATTCTAAGGGGATGTATAGCAGCAGCAGGAAGTGGTAGTCTAATCAGAATAGAGGGAAAGGTGATAGCAATACACAGAGACATCTTGAATGAAAGCCTGCCACAGAGCATCTTGACCTCAGTTAGGACAACGACCCAAAGCACCCTGCCCAGATCGCTAAGGCTTCAGAACCTCCCTGGGAACGTCCTGGAGGAGGCAAACCATCTGATAGAACATCTCTGAGATCTGAAAATGGCTGACAGACACCTCCATCCAACCTGAACATGGAGGAGTCAGTTCCCTAAAGCATAATGCATGCGATCACCAGCAATTTGGCACCAAGATAATAAAGTAAATGTATCAGTAAAGGCATGTAGAACTGACAGATGTCATTCTTTTCCTGTTAGACTGTTTACGTTTTAGCTCCTCTTTGTGTTCTAAAAAGCTTTGCTTGTGTTATATTCAGGCTGACTTACTTTTTATGACCTTGCATAAACAAATATGTGGATCTCGAGAGACAAGCCCAAACATTCAGCTGAAATAAATGATTTCTTCTTCTTCTTTCAGAGAGTTTTGAAAAGGAAAGCTTTGTCAGTTTCTCTTTGAGACGTGCATCAGGAAACCAAGTGAGTAATGTTTGGGCCACATTAACATTTTCTAAAATCCTAAACAAAGCAACAACTAAGGAAATTGTTGATTATTTCTTTGTTGTAACAATGCTTCATGGCAGCTTGTTTATTTCCTTTTAGATTAACAAATCTTTAGAAGGAAAATGCATTTGTGGACTAAGCAGCAGAGTTGAGTATGTGGACTGCACACAGGAAAAATGCTATAAAATTTGTACTGCTGCTGACTAGTTTGTTGTTATTTTTTATGAATAACTGAAACAGGAAGTCATATTTTGAACTTAACGATCTATAATTGGGAATCAGGGGCCTCAGTAGAGGGAAGGAGAACTACAACCATACCTCTGAAGTTTGACCACACAGTGCTGTATGATGGCAGAACCAGTTGCTGCCTCTCATTCTGTGTTTGTGTTGCTTGAGCTGATTCCTCAGGTGTTCAATGGGATTAAGGTGAGATTATCCTGGAGAAAACGTAGCATGGAATGGTTGGAATCTCAGCTGTTCAGACATGATTGACTTTGTTGAGGTTTGAAACATCTGGATCTGATTTTACCCAGTCACTAACGTTTGGCTGTGACGTGTGTAATGCACCAACTCGATGCTATGCTATGACGGTAAACTGAAATTGGATGAGCTGTAAACAACTGTCCCAATAAGAAATCTTAATGGAGCCAGTCATGGCTCCTTGAACTAGTTAGGACATGTTCATTACATTTTTTGCAAATAGTCTTTCTCAGATGATGAGATTTCACCTGGTCATTTCTGTCTAATGGATTATTCAAATAAGTTGCTGATCAGTGTTTACACTTTATACACGTGGAAATGGCTGTGAATTGACCCCGACATGCTGTGACTCTGTCTGTTACCAGGTCTGAACAGAGATGAGATGAGAATGGAGCAGCATTGTGTTGGGGCAACGACCAGGATATGTGGGTCTGGGAGTTAGTCTGTCATGTAGTCCACTCTGTGGAGACGAACACTGACATCTCATCACCATGTCTTTATCTAATGATGACAGCTTTAGTCCTGAAAACCTTCACTGTGAATCTGTAGAAGACTGCCTGTGGTTTCTAAGTGCAGACGCAGCTTTTATCTCTCACTTCTATCTCTGACGTCCCCCATCAAATAGAACCTGGCTTTTCATTTGGAGTTTGCTCAGGGGATTCCTCCACATAATGCTGCAGCTTCTTTAGAGGAACTACATCAATCAGCATGGCAGAGCAGACACCAAATAACCATGTAGGATCTGTGCTTATAGGTCCTGCTGGTCATGAACCAATCAGGTTCCTGACCCTGAGTGTCTGTGCCTCAGGTACCAGAAGCTCAAAGAAACAGTCAGTTGCAGATTATGTTATTTAGCATTAGCCAAAAAGAATTGGCATGTTCTTCATGCACTCAACTCTGTTCCTCAACCCTCTAGTGTATTTTCTTTACAGATGAGGAACCATATAAAGGCAAATAAACAGGATTTTTACCTGTATTGATTGATAAGCCTGAAGTCTTGTTTCAATAAAGAAATTGACCACAATGTCCTGAGTTCTATACCATGTTTAGAAGTTAAATATGAATACACAATGTTTGTTTGTTTGTTTGTTTATTTATTTACAGGTGGTGCAGCTGACTCGGTTTAAGCCATCAGGTACAATATTAGTTTGTTTCAACTTTGTATCAGATGTTCGCACTACACTTTGTAACTTTTGTAAAAATAATATGTTTTTGTACATATTTGTTAAAAGTGTCACCATGTTGTGACAGTGTGTAATGAGACAGTCTGTGACAAGACGGATCTCCTCCCTGAGCTTATATTGTTGTCTGAAGAAATGCACGGCTCTTGACTTTGTCGCAAAACAATGCTCTTACTGATGTTGACTGCAGCTTCATAATCAGAAGATGTAACCTGTGAAAGAAGGGCTAAAAAATGACCAACCTCTTCAGCGGTCACATCTCCAACTATTTTCCAAATATGTATTTTTGGATTTGCAGGGGAGGACCTACCCTTGGCAGTAAGACAGAGTTGACGTGTTGGACATTAACACGTCCAACACTAGTGTGACATGGAGCTACTCACTAGACACATTTTGACATTTTTAGTTGCTGTTTTTTTTTTCAGGCTTATAGTCTGAGGCTTAGAATTAGGTGATGAAAATCCTGTCTAGGCTTTTTTGTGGTTTATAATAAAATGCCCACTGTTTCTGGTGCTTTAGCCCTTTATTTGTTGTTGTATGCATTCTGAGGCTTAACTTCCCATCTGGTTGTGATTCAGGAGTGGGATATACTTAAATTTGTGGCTGTCCCTCTATTCTTTTTACATTTTAATCAGGAGAGTATTTTCTGCACATGTGAAAATGACTCCTGGTGCACAAGCTTGAGCTTCTCAGAAAACAGATCACACATGTGCAACAAAACTTGACTTCCAATGTCCAAAGCTAGGGTAATGTAAGCTTCCTCAGAGCTGGGGAAGCTTGAGTCAAAGATGGGCTTTTTGTTCACTTGAGCAAACTGGTTTAAATCGCTCCAAGAAATGTAGGAGTGATATGCTTTGTACAAATAATATAAAGAAATCTGAATATAATTTTAATGCACAAATTTGTATTTGATTGTCTCCAGGACACGCCACTGACACTCTCAGTGCTGGTTTGAAACAGGTTTCCAGATGCAAATAATGCGTCTCAAAAGGAAACCTTAACCCTAACCCTCTTAAACATTTCTTTCGTTTTCATGTTTATTGTGCAACTTTTAATATCTAGCAAATAAATCCTGAGTAAATACAAGAAATAGTTTCTCAATAAGGATTTTGTCTATGATGAGAAAGAAGCATATCCAACTAACCTGGCCCTTTGTAAAAAAAAAAAAAAAAAAAAAAGACAACGATCCCCAATTTCAGTAGAAATTTTTTAACCGTAAACAGACAGTTTAAGGTCAGGCCACAGAATCCTCATCAGAATTTAGATCAAACTCCAACTACAGACACTCCAGACTCCCACTGGATAAAAAAGTGTCTTTAATCAGACACTTTTTTATCCAGTCAGAGGTGAACTTCCTGCTGTCCTGCTGCAGAACTCCAGTCACAGACTGATGGGTGGACTCTCTCCATCAAGGCCATCAGCAGATTTCAGGGTTAAGTGTGGCAGGTTGTTCACTTCCTGAAGAATCAAAGCAGTCCTACACCATCACAACCTCCATCTCTGACTGTTGTCATTAGCCATGTGTCCATCAATGTTTTTGAAATATCACATTAGAAAAGAGTGATGAAAACCATAAAAATTAAAATAATTTTCTTAGCTTTTTTTAAAACTAATTTGAATAATTAACTGAGCTTATTGTATTATATAATAACTAGAATCAATTATATTCTATATGTGATCAAATTGAAATTATTTCTTGTAACATTTCTGTGGTGTTGAGGTTGCTGTCAACTCTGTTCATTTAAGTGCATAAATTTAATTTATTTATCAAATTAAATATATGCATTTATTAATTTATTAATTTTGGTTTTAAAAAGTACTAAAAATTGAAATCAAAGCTGGAGTATGTAACTTTTATAAAAATATGTTTTTATTTATTTGTTAACCATGTCATGTGTGTTATGAGACAGATAATCTGTGAAAAGATGGATCTCCTCCATCTTGTTCCTGAGCTGATATGGATTTCTGAAGAAATGCATTGCTCTGACCAAAAACAACCAATCACAGCCAGGAGGAGGGGCTTTTTTTCACAGATTATCTGTTTTTTATTATACTATCATAACATAATGACAGTTTTAACAAATATGTGGAAAAAAAATAAAAATAAACAGAAAACCAGGTGCCATCACTTCTTTTCTTTTCTTTTCTCTTTTTTTTTTACATGTGGCCAGCTCGGTTTGATAGCTTTATTTGATCAAATAAATGAAATCATCAATGATGATCTGAACCATTTATCCATGATAAAAAGCCAAACAGAAAAAAATCTATAAGAGAGTAAATATGTTTGGCACAGTACTGTGAACTGATGGTTACGTTTATTACCAAATTGTTCGTCTTATATTGTCCTCAAAACACACAAAATGTGTGAAGTGGCCTGGAAAACGTAGGATGTGCCAGCATTTTCATCTGGTCTATGAGCTGAGTGTGTCAAGTCAATCTAATATATTAGTGTACATTGGTTTTAGTTATGCAATATGTAAAACAGCCTAGGTGTTTTGGACTATTTCTGTGATGAGCAAAGCCTCAGACAGGAAAGAGTCACCTGTGATGCAGAGAGTTGACTGGAGGAGAAGCAGAAAAATAGGCTTTTATTTGATGCTGCATCCGTTCTATGTGAAAACTGCGCCCTGTGCTCTTTGTTGAGGTGAATGTAGAGGCAGACACAACAGATGGGCTCCATACTTCCAGAGGGTTAAATCGTTGTCAAATGTTCTAAGTGGACAGGCGGCACTGACGAGGAAATCTTTCATTGCTTCATTAAACGTTGAGACGTCTCCCAGAAGAACCCGATGGACGGAGTCTGAGTGCTGCTGCAGCGCTCAGTCTGGAGACAAAGCAGAAGTTCATTCCCTTAATCTGGATGGACCAGCATTGGCCATTCACACTATCATCCATTAAGCACTCCAACACCTGCTCTCTTTCACTCCGCCTTTCACACCCCTCCCTTCTTCTGTCCTCCTTTGTACACAAACACACTCAGAACGCAAACACACAACACATGAGACAGAGCCAGGAGTCGCTGCTAATGCCTTTCACTTTTCCTTCACACAGGTTGTTGAGCTGCAGATGGGGAGGCTCGTCTCTGTATGCTACACACACACACACACACACACACACACACACACACACAGGATAGAGAGCAAGAGGACAAGAATAGAAAAAGGAAACTCCACCTTCTCCCATAGTCATCTACTCAGCTGAACCCATCAGCTCATCAAATTCCTAATAACTCACTTATGTAATAGTTTACATTTCTTGTGTGTAGCTCAAGTAGTGATGAGACTTAAACTCTCATTGATGAGTTTGATTCATCTTCCCAACGTTCCGAAACACAACATTTTTCACATTCTTCAGATGAAGACAGGAACGTCTGGAAACTGTAAGCAGAACCAGGATTTGGCTCATCCATCCCGTAACCCGGCAGTGTGGACCTGGACTGACTCACCACTAACTCACTTTAAAGCGTTTTTATAGTTTAACGTTTGTGTTTCTACTTGACACAATTTCCTGTGGTCTAAAGAGACAGAACCCAGGTGTGTGAGTAGTCATTATCTTACCAGCAGTCAGAGTTGACCTAGTTACACTTCCAATCAGAAGTTTACATACACTAATCCTCAGGGTCGACAGCAGCGTTTCCATTGACCATGTAATTGTGGAATTTGATATTTCAAAACTGCAATAGTTTTGTGAAATAAATCATGTGACTCAGCTGGCATCAAGTCACATGCCTGGCATCAGTCGAGTCACATGATCAACAACAATGAAGAACAAGGTGACAGGAAGCAGTTAGACAGTGTTTTAATGACTGATTGTGTTATTCACATGTGATTTTAATTGCTTTTCTTATTTAATAGAAATGCCACCATTTTGAAATTGCATTTTTTTCAACAAGTTTTGCACACATATATAATGGAAACAGAGCTAGAGCAACATAAACTACCAATTTTTATCTCATTTGCAAATTATAAATAAATCACACACATTCTGGACCCGTCTTTACTCCAAAACCAGTTTCCAGTTCTGTTTGGAATCATCATCCTGCCTGAACCTTCAGTTGGTTCTCTTGTTTAAAGTTTTTCGATGTTTATTGGAGATGTAGTTGAGGAATTTGAAGATAGTTCTTCATCCTTCTTCTTCCACCTGCTTTGTTTGACACATTAGTAACACTGGCACTAAAAGGACCTTCAGTATGATGCCACCAACACTTTGTTCAAAAGCTGGTGCAATGTTCTCTGGTTTAAGACGTCCAGCTCGTCTCATCCATTCCTATTTCTTGTTTGTTATATCCAGACCATTAAATCTTTGTCTTGTCTGAATGAACTTTGACCTGCCCAAGAGCTGAAAATTTCACTAGAAAGTGAAAGAGGGACATTTTACTTCTCAGTTCATGTCGATGTTCCACACTGCAGACAATGTGTTATCTTCCATTCTATAATATCCTTGATTCTTTATAATTTCTTGGTTGTTTCCAAAAAATCCAAAACATTATTCTAATGTATGAAACATGAATCAGAGAAACACTGCATAAAACTCAGGCTTGTTCACACAGTTATTCTTTCTCAATTAAATTAAGGGTTTTTGCCAACTAATTGTTCCACTTTGAAAAAGGAACAGTTGGAATTCGTGATTAAAAGCTCAATTAGTATTATCTTGATTCTGATGATGAGTGTATGTGAGCTTTTCACTAGCACTGTAAACATATTACCATGTAGTCTTAACCAGCAAGTCTTTCATTTATCAGCTCTACATGAGTTTCTCACTGCTTCATGTGTTTGGGGGGGATACTGTCTACACACTCTGTATGACGTATTGATGAAACGACCGAACAGTAACCTGTCTGAGAGCTTGTGTTGACAAACATCAAAATGTAATGAAAGATGTTGAAATAAAGTACGGAGCAGTTAGCTGACGAGCTAACACCCCTCTACAGTTCCTCTGTTACGTGTCGGCCTCTTTCCTGTTTTGTTGCATTTTTTCTAAGGCCAGATGAACTGATGCTGCTGGTAAAACACAATAACATCTGACTTTGAAAACATTTTAGAACAACTGTATTTGGGGAGAATTCAGCCTTATTTATTTAAATAGCGACCATTCTTAGTAAATTATGTGAATAGCAGGAAGTCTGATTCATAAGCAGTTTTCTATAAAGTTCATCCCAGATTTTACTTTAAATGTACTATATGAAAAAAGGTGAACATGTTTTCACAGGCTGATGTTAAACTATAGTGAACTTTTCTTGTTTTAAGGTCAGTCAGCATTACCAAAATAATTTCTATTTTCTGCATGGACTGCACTCTGCAAAATCTCTGATGTCAGATAGTTTTGCAGCAGCACAAGGTCTCAAACTTCTCTACCGAGCTTCTGCTGCTTCAGTCAGGCATGTCAGCGGCTCCCCGGAGTGAACCTGTAGACACACTGAGGAGTGCAACAGAACTGCCCAGCTGACAATGAAGCTGGGCCGTCGATCTAAAAAACTTGTCTCACAAACCTGTGGAGTCAAAACAAACAGCTTCTGTGGTGCTGATTACAAACTCAGCAGTCAGGAAACAGAAAAGCCTCGTCTGACCGTCGGTCCCTGTTGGTGCTTCATAAATTAAATCTCCTTATTTGTGCCTGGCATCCATCAGCAGTGAGCAGCTGTAGCTCTTCATGCAGGGCCGGTCCACAGTGATATAGGGGCCTTAGGCAGAAACTGATTTAGGGGCCCCTTTTCCTCCTAAGAACATTATCATCACTAATTGTGTTTAAATATGGATTTGATGAAATCTGGGAGCACAGGCCAAGTTTAATTGATCAAGCTATAAAGCAATCACTGATAATTGGTTAATATTTGCGGTGATGCATTTATGGACAAACCGAGTTCAAATACAAAGATTAACTATGAAGATGATTCTTTGCACATATAAGTCCTAAATCCTACATTTATAATTATGTTTTTTAACTTGTCTCTGCTCAAACCAATAAAATCAGGTATTGACATTCTCAATAAACAACACTAACAATTTTAGATCTACGGTCTATGTTAAGCATTTAGAGGGGCCCCTGAAGGTCGAGGGTCCTAAGCAGCTGCTGAGTTTGGGCCAGAAAAAGAAAACTCTCAGAGAAAATGCAGTAATGAAATCTTCTGACCCGTCTGGTCCTTCCTCTGGTTCTGGGTCTGATCTCTACCAGACATGAGAAGTCAGATGATACTGCTAATAGCAGCATCTCTCTGTGTGTGTGCATGTGTGTATGTGTGTTTTTTTCACTAAAACATGTTCCATTTTTGTTCCTGGAGCCTTGCTGTTTAGATGACCTCAGTGGAAATGTTCAGGAAATGGCATCACTACCCTTTTTCATATTGATGGGAAGCAAAAGTTCATCCTCCAAGGTTGATGCTAATGTGTTTGCTCCTTATCTTTGGGCTAGCATTGTTGCTATGCTTCAAATCTACCAAAAGTCCAATGTTTATAGAGTGAGTCTCTGTGATGATCAGTAAAAGAACATCTGATCAGCAGCAGCTGGCTGCCACTTTCCTCTAAGATCCTCTAAGCTGCAGTTGTTTAAATGATTCTTTATACACAGATTTTATCTTTAATCAGCAATAAATGTATCCTAAATAAGGAATTTGCTGTGTGTCTCCTACACTTGAAGTTCGATTTATAGACGTTTAGAACCTACTGGTGACTGGAGTTTTATTGTGTCCCCTGATGAAAAATAAATAAGTACAAAAAAAAAAAAAAAAAAAAAAAAAAAAAAACCCATGGAAATATGTTTTTTT